GAAACTTCTAGTTGTGACATCAAAGGGAAAAAAAGATTTATTCTGTATGTCCACAGTTTACTTTCTTAGCAACTTCCATCAGGAGTGGCTTATGGTTGTGCACTACTAACATGAATCACTCTTTTTTTTTTTTAAATTGGTTTTTAAAGAGAGAGAGAGGAAAAGAGACTGAAGTGGGGCATCAATTTGTTGTTCCACTTACTTGTGCATCATTCATTTTGATTCTTGCATGTACTCTGACCGGGAATCAAATCTGTAACCATGGCATATCAGAACACTCTAAAACACTGAGCTACTTGGTGCATTTGAAATCTTGCTCCCTGGTATAAGTCCTCAGTTTGACTCAAATAAACTCAAAAACTTCTCTTAAAAAAAAAAAGAAAGAGAGAAAGAAAAAGCCCTGGCTAATGTGGCTCACTGGATTGAGTGCCAGCCTGAAAAGCAAAGGGTCACTGGTTCGATTTCTGGTCGGGTCACATGCCTGGGCTGCAGGCCATGTCCCCACTGCGGGGTGTGTGAGAAGCAACCACACATTAATGTTTTTCTCCCTTGCTTTCTCCCTCCCCTCCCTTCTCTCTAAAAATAAAAATAAATAAATAAAATCTTTTAAAAAACAAAAAAAATAATGGCTTATTCAGTGAATGATGACAAAGATCATGTACATCATGCTACCTAATGTACACGCAGTCTGAAAAAACAATTACTTTTAACAAATGTCTGTGATCTTTCTATGTAACTCAGTATAAAAATGCAAAAAAAACCCCAACAAAAAACAAGACCAAGTTCTATTAGTTATATATTCACTGATATAGTTGAAATTATAAAACCTAAGTGAGGATTTTTATTTTTGAAAAATAATCTGATGAATTCAAAGCCACAAAACACAAAGGGGTGAGAAAAATAAGGAATCTGAAACAGATGGTATCTAATTCTTTTCCTGAGTCCATCTTGAACACAATCCCAATAATGTCAAAATCCAATTTAGCTCTACATGTAAGTTATCGCCCAATGAAAATGGTCACTCGGAAATAAATTTATTCTTTTTTTCTCCTAGCTTCGCAGTTTTTTATATTAGGTAGAAACAGTAGAGAGAAATTAAATGTTTAAAAAAAATTGTTCAACTAATTCTAAAGTTCTTTCATGAAACTCTCCTTTACTTATCTGAAGCCATGGAAGCACTTTCTATCAATGTTGATGACATTAAAATCTGTCTATGATTATCAGCCTTTTTTCTGGATACAATAATTACTTATCCTTATTACAGAAGACCACAGCATATTTTAAAAAATGCTTTACAATAGAAACAAACTCTGGAAGAATACTCATTTGGTTCAAGTAAAGCCTGCCTGGCATTTTGAACACATTTCTAAAGTAACTTTCACTCCTGATTTGGCAACATCAGTAAAACTAACTGTATTATGTTCATTACTTGATTCTAGCACATGCTATATAAACCTTCCCAATCTTTCCTAAAATGTTCTGAGATCATCTAAGAGACGGATATTAAAGGAAGGTTTAGTCATTTTTAGATTTCCTGACAAGCAAATTCCATAAGTGACAACTGCAAAGATCCTTGGAATGGCCACACACTTTGAGTGGAAAAGGCCATTGAGAAAAGTATCATCTCTAACAATCTCTATTGTTGCCTGTAATTTAGATAGGTCTTTTTACTCTAATATCTAGTATCCTCTCATATCATTACATGGTTTATTAAAGTTTTATGAGAAAACAGTGAAAAAACAGGAGCTTCTGATAGTTTTACCAACAAAGCAAAATAATAAAGCCTCAAATTTTAGATTCAAAAGATAATGAAAAAAATGATCCAGGAAAACAGAGCTAAAACCTTAAAAGACACACTAAAGACTTTACACTCTTAAAAAAGTCATTTAGAAAACTGAATAATCTTACAAAAAACTATAATTACTAAAAACAATTTCAACTTTTTTTAAAAAGCATGCACAGTTTATTAATAATTTCAAATAAATCCATCCATTTATCAAACTGACCAATATTTATTATCATGTAGTTGCAGCAGTGGATAAAATTTAAAATAGTATTTCTACCTTAAGACGCATGCAATATAGTTAGAGACTTTTATCAGTTTTACTTTTTTTAAAAAGTTCAACACTGTTTAAAAGTTAGAGACATGAAGAAAAATATATTTGAAATTTCTTCTCTAAATTATGAAAGATCTATAAACCTATAAAAAAGTGATACCTATTTACAAACTTTGTTAACACTTGCACACACAAAAAAACTATTAGAGCAAGTTAGTTGATATTTACCCTCTGAGTATAAAGTACATTTAAAAATTAAAAAGTATTGTACTAACTACTACAGCCCTGGCTGGTGTGGCTCAGTTGGTCATCCCATAACCTGAAAGGTCATGGGTTTGATTCCTGGTCAGGGCACATGCCTATATCAAGGGTTCGGTCCCTTTTTGGGCACAAAGGAGAGACAACTGACTGATAGATGTTTCTCTCTCTCTCACATAGGTGTTTCTCTCCTTCTCTCTCTTCCAACCCTTCATCCCTCTCCCTAAGATCAGTAAGTATGTTCACAAATGAGGATAAAAAATAAAATAGTAAAATAAAATAAAATAAAATAAAATAAAATAAAATAAAATAAAATAAAAATAGCCCTGGCTGGTGCAGTTCAGTGGATTCAGCATTGGCCTGTGAACTGAAAGGCTGCCAGTTCGATTCCCAGTCAGGGCACATGCCTGGGTTACGGGCCAGATTCCTGGCTGGGGGCATGAGAGAGGCACGAATCAGTGTTTCTCTCACACTCTTTCTCCCTCCCTTTCCCTCTCTCTGAGAATAAATAAAATCTTTTTTTTTTAAGCCATTTGTTAAAAAATAAAAGTACTAACTACAAGTTACATTAGAAAGCAAACTATATTAGCTGATAATTTCACATATAATGAGATACACAGAATTATCATTTTAAAACTATAAAATACACAAATTATAAAGACTCCATGTTTCTAAGATTTATTTCTCTATTCTCATCACGATTTAAAGGCAGAACTTCAACCCTGGTTAGTGTGACTCAATGGATTGAGTGCCAGCCTGTGAAACGGGTTGCGGGGGGTGGTCCCCAGTTTGATTCCTGATCTAGGGCACATGCCTATGTTGCCAGCCAGGTCCCCAGTGGAGGGTGAGCAGGAGACAACCACACATTAATGTGTCTCTCCCTCTTTCTCCCTTCGTTTCCCTCTACAAATAAAATAAAATCTAAAAATAAATAAAGGCAGAAATTCATTTCATTATCATTCGTTCTACAGATTACACATATAAAAATTCTGTAAGTTTTACTAATAGTTTAAATCCAATTAAGATGAATTATACCACCGATGTTGATTTTAATCTTAAGTTACAACTACTTTCTATTTTATGCCCCAATTTTAATTCTCTTCAGAGACATAGGATGTTAATTAAAATTTACATAAATTACTTTTTAAATGGATTTCTTATCAATCCATACTATACACATCACGAATCTGAGAGAACCTTTGAAACATTATAGGTCTTTTGAATAAATGCACCTATTCTGTTTTACTTTTAAGAGTTTTAACTACTGATAACTGAATTCCATGCTATTTATGATCAATTTCTGAAAGTCCTGCTCTATACATATATTGTGGAATATTATTACCCAATTCCCTCTCATCTCAAACTACATTTCACAAAACTGGGGCTACCTTTACTGTGAAGGATTAATGATAATTCTTTCAATTAGAAGGTGATTCCACTTAAAGTGGGCTTTTATTTAAACATATTATCCTCCCTTACAATATTGATAAGAATTTAACTCATTTTACTTATGAAAAAAATGAGTCTGGTAGGTTCCAAAACTTGCCCAAGGTCAACAACTAGCCAGTGACAGTCTGGGTTCAATCCCAGGTTTACCTACCTCAGAGCCAAAACTTTCACTTCCTTCAAAGATTAAGAGAAAAGCTCAAAAGCAGACCATCCTGTCTCTCTGAACACATCTACTTTAAAATATCACCACACAGTACTTACAATTCAGTAACTGATTTGAAATAAAAATGAAGAGCATCTCTCTGTTTCACTTAAATTAGGGCAGACTTACTGGCAGGTAAAAAGGAGGTTGGAAAAGGCTTGCCTCAACATGTCTCCCCTAGACCTCTATATCTATACGGTTGTCCTAGTCCATTTTTTTTAGAAACACGCATTATCTACCAAACAAGGCTATACCAGACTAGCCTATAGTTTGGTTCTTTTTAAAACTGCACTTTTCTAAGGTAATTCATACGATTTAATATAGAACTGGGAGACATTGTTTAACATGCTATACTGACTTTCCAAACATTTGAAGTATCATTTAGAGGCAACAAACCCAGTTTCATCTTCTTTCTCTTAACGCTGCGCTGCCTGCCCACTTTGGGGGGTACCGCTCCGGTACAACGCTGGGGCAAGAGCAGTAAAGGAAGAAGTGGGGGAAGCGCACGGAAGTTGGGTGGAGGGAGGTCTCCTTACCCACTGTTCTGTCCTAGCTCCACCAAGGGCGGCTCCCCACGGTGCCCAGCCGATTCACAACCCCCACAAACCTCGAAACCGGGCTATGTCCCAGCGGGGTGGATAGGGGAAGCAGGCAATGGAAGCTTTGGATTGCCCCAACCACCCTGCCGAGATCAATGCTCTCATTTCGGCCCCGGAGGATGCTCCCCCTTTCAAGAGCGAGTCCTCCAGGTGGCAAACTCCCCGTCCACACCGGCTGAAGTCTTCTGCATCCAAAGGGGCGCCTCCTCTGCAACCTTCGCCCAGCAACCCGAAACTCCCCACCGCGATGTCCACCAGTCCCTCTCTCCACCCCCACAACCCTTCACAGACACACACGTCTGCCTGCGCCCCACCCAGGATCTAGGCGTCCCCCTCCCCGAACCGGAGGAGGACTCCCCACCAGCCCCCACAGATACACACACACACCCCCTCAGACTCCAACCTCCCGGACACCGACGAAGCCGGATCGAGTACCTGGTCTGGCGGTGCTCTTGGGCTCAGAGGGGCTGGGCGCGATCCCCTCCCACAGGCGCCGAACGCTCCCCTACCCACCAGCAGCGGAGGCTTCTCTCTTTCCCGAGAACAGGAGGGAGGAGAAGTGTGGGAGGGGAGGGGTGGGGGGGGAAGCGAGAAGCGGAGGGGACGCTAGGGACCGAACCGGAACCACTAGCGCTGGCCCCACCCTCGGCCTGGCGCAAAGCATCCGAGCGCTCTGGATAGGACAAACTTAAAGGAGGCAGCGAGAAATGAACACCACCACTTCCGGGTCACCCCTCTACTGCCCCTCCTTAGCAACCGCGTGGGGTTGCTAAGCGGAAGTACCTCAAAGACGACACCCCCATTTCTTCTGGGACTGTCAGGAGGTAACCGGGAGCGCGTGCACTTCTTTGGAAACACCTTTCTACCTTCTCCTCCCGGTCTTAGACCAAGCACACGCTTCGCAGCCAGAGTCACAAATCCCATCCTGCTTTTCCCTTCAGCTGCACTACCCCCTCCCCCAACCCTCATCTGCTATAAAGACACGCTTCCTCCCGCCCTGAGTCCCAGGCCGGCCCATTGGCTCTTAAGGCTTTCTCAATGGTCCCTCGTGGGAGTTATCTTTTCTGGCAGTTTAGCAAGCATCTCCCTCTTGAGGATTTTCAGTTGTGTTTCAATTGGGTTTTAAAAATCTTCAATGTTATGAAAGCTTTCTCATGCACTTAGTTCTCTTTTGACAGCCCATGAAACAGTGTTGAGGAAGTTCTGTCTTCGCCTATCTTTTGTTAAGGATTGCACATGGTTGTGTATGATCTGTAAATAACCTAGTTAAATGAAAGGGGAAAACAAAGATTCGCTGTAAATTGAGTAATTTTAATCCTTAAAAGCAATGAGAAAGGCCAAAGGAAGACTGTAATTAGCTTGAGAAGGAGGAAGAAATTTAATCCTCCACTCAGAAAAACGTTCATACCTACACTGTGGACAAGAAAAGTGTTAGTAAAGGACTTCATTTATTCTGTGTCGAGGTGATCTGGGCTATGAAAATTTTGGGAAAACTACTGGTTAGGGTAAAAACCAGCAAAATATTTAATAGTCTTTAGAAAAATGACCCATAGCACTATAGCAATTAAGTATTCATAGAAATATAGTTGAGCATTCAGAGAAAAACGAGTAAAAATCTTGGCTTTACTTTCCAGTCTTTAATAGGCCTGCTCAAAAGCAGTAAAGCTTAAGAGTAGCCCTTGAATTTGTTCCCTGCTCCATGGCAGTAAATGAACTGGCAACTGCAGCTCTAATTTTGTTGGTCATGATTACATCTTAGTTACCAATAATGGACTTTTATCCACCTTAGCTAGTGCAGAGGAAATGAGCTTTGGTAATTCAAAAGAAATAGCAGGTCTGATGGTTTCCTTACACATGGGAGAGCATTAAATTGTTTTACCCTAGACAGTTCAGTAAAAGCTTTAGGAAATCACTTAGGATTAAAATGTCAGTAGTAGCTTGTTTAAGTCTAAAACATTGCAACTCTTCTCACGGGCATGCATACATGTAGAAGTATACACACACACAATTAATATTTAATCTGAACACATCCAGTAATTAATTTTTCTTTTAAAAACCTGACAGTAAGTGATGTGATAAACCATTATCATGGCAAAATAAAGCTTAGTATTTTAATTACCAACAGGTTTATTTAAAAAGTTAGAAAAGTTAAACCATGAGCCCAATGAACAATGACTTATCTAAAATTACAGTGCACTCAGATGTCTCTGAAATTTTTTAAACATGATTTTGGTAAATGTGTTCTAAAGTAAGAAATGTTTTCTTGGGTAAAATTAATAGTTAAAATACTACAATAATGGTAGTTTAGGCCAATATAGAAATGCAAATTCCTATGCACCATCCATTTTTCCTATTACATGAAGAAATATGACCTGAACAGTATTCACTTAGATCCTTTCTTCCCATTTTTTTTTTTTTATCATTGGTCACTTTTTAATAGGTATATGGATAACTGGCTTGATCCCTAAATGGTCAGATGACTTCTATTATTCTATTTTCAACATATTGTTTGGAAACCTCTAAAGATGTACAGCACAATCCACACCTAAAATTAGCTATATGGGTTTAACTACACTTTTACAGGGTTTTGTAAGCAGTTCTACAGGAATCCATATTCTTAATATAAACCGTAACTAAGTGCACTCAGATCTAGGCTAGATCTCAAATAGCCTTCAAAGTCAGTACAGTATTGTAGATCAATATGATTTACTGCATTTTTTCTTGGTCTTTAAAAGCTTTTTTTTTTCCTCATTTTTTATTGCTCCTTGAGCCCTGGCTGATGTGGCCCAGTGGGTTGAGCACTGGCCTGTAAAACAGAGTTGCTGGTTTGATTCCCAGTGTAGGGCACATGCCTGGGTTGCAGGTGAGGTCTCCAGCAGGGGGCAGGCGAGATGCAACCACACATTGATGTTTCTCCCCCTCTCTTTCTCCCTCCCTTATCCTCTTTAAAAAAATAAATTTTTTTAAAATTCATTTTTATTGCTCCTTGAAATCATTTAAAAAGAATTAGGGTATATCTAATGTTTATTTTTGGAAAACACAACTGTTATGCAATAATGAATATTTAAATATTCCTAGAGTAATATTCAAAAAGGTCCATTGGCATCACCAAATATAAAAGATACCAAAACTAAAGTGTAACAATTAATGAGTACTTGGTATAAGTTACTAGAAAGGTAGCCAAATTTATTATGTGTCTAAATAATATACAGCACAGAAGGCATAGACCCTTACACAAGGGACCTAGAGAAACTTAGAATACATGTGACATGAACAATAGAATGTTTAGCCTTTGGAAGAGAAAGCTAAAGGATGTACTAACTATCTTTAAATACTTGAAGGTTGTCACATGGGAGAAATAATTCTGTTATGTCAAGGACAGAATCAAGACTAGGAAGAGTATAGTTAGAAAAATTCAAAATTTTAATTCATAATGTTTTTCATAATTAAGAGTTGCCAACCAATAAAACAGTCCCCGTAATGAACAGCTGTTACCTGGAGTTGAATAAGATGACTTCTAACATTGCTCGGTCTCCCACCTCCATATAATATCCTCAAAGGTAAAAGAAACCATTGTAACAATGTTGTTTGGACCAAGGCCCAAATTTTCAATTTTTTAATCTTCAGTTTTTCCGTGTGCTAGCCTGAAGGATTCTAAATACATTGAGATTTGTAAGCAGTGTACATAGACATACATGAAAGGTTCAGTTAGTTTAGGCTTTATTTTCTGATTTTTAAAGTGATTAAGCATTTGTCATCTTAAAAATAACTCTTTAAGCATACTTTATAGTTGTGGATATAATATTGCTTTTCCTTTGTAAAACTATGTAAACACAAAATACATATGATCCTCACAATGTTCTGGCATTCAAACATTCCAGAAAAGTAGTTTTAATCACTGTTTAACCAGGAATTTAATACTAGCATTAGCAATTTGAATAATCCAAAGAGGAAAATCAATTAGCTTTGTGAAGAGTACAAAACTATAAATTTAGTTTAATTATTCTTTTAATGTATATTTTTTTTAATACCGTTTCAACGGGAACAGGGGTTCTGTACTTCCATTATGTTTAGAAGAGGCTAAATTGCCAACCTACATTTTCAAGAAGTTTTGACAAGGGAACAGATTACAGGGGACACCTGCCTAATAAAAGTGAAACATCATCACTCTTGCTGAGTAGTTTAGTCAATTGATGTTTCTCTCTCTCTCTCCCCCTCCATATTCCTATCTCTAAAACCCAATAAATTTAAAAAATTTTAAATGTAATCTACACTCATCAGGACTCAATTTGGACGTTGATAAAATCAGATCAACAAATGGATATGTATTTGGGAGAAATAAAATAGAAGTACTTAGTAGAATATAATCTTAGCACACAAATGGCCATAGTCTACTTTGAAAATAAATATTTATTTATTAAAAACAAACTTCAGAAAAACATCTGTTAAAACACAGTTTATTTTCACAATAGATGTGAGTGAGCAAAAGGCGTGATGAGGAAGCAAGAATTACTGTTACCAAGTAATATACCTACCTCTTCAATTATACCCCAGTTACCTTGAAAAATATAATGGTAGCTCTAAGAACTTTAGACATAGCCCTGGTTTATAGCATGATTTACCTTTCAAGTTTTATTTATTTCCAGATGGTAATATTTTATTATACCAAATAAAATGCATATTCTGAGAAAATTCTTCACTTTTAACGTAGTCTATTAAATCTTCCTGACTGAAACCCTTAGGACCAAATTGCCTTTACATTTTTCTAAGGAGAAGACATCAAGTTTTTTCAACATTGTATCTTTGGCCCCCATTCTTAAAAAGGATGTAAATGCAGTTTAATTAAGTGATTTTTTAAAAAGATTTTATTTATTTTTAGAGGGAAAGGGAGAGAAACATCAATGTGTGGTTGCCTCTCAAGCGCCTCCTACTGGGGACCTGGCCCACAACCCAGGCATGTGCCCAGACTGGAAATCGAATCAGTGATGCTTCGGTTCACAGGCTGGCGTGTTCAATCCACTGAGCCACACCAGCCAGGGCAATACTGATTTTTTTTTAATGTGCTGAAATCTAACTGCTTTATAAATCAAAGGAAAAATATGGCACCATTCCAGAAACCTAATGCCAGTAAAAAATGGCAGCAATACAAAGATCTAAGTAAATCTCAAATACAGCAGATTTGTTGTACAAAACATACAATGATTTATTTTTAGCAAGAACAAAGAGCTTAATAACAGGTAAAAGAAACCAAATATTGCATTATATTGAATACTAAGGTTAAGTAACCATAGTTATCTCATAAATCTTTCAATATCTTAACTACTTGCTTTTTAATAACTATATGTAACCCTCATTTTTTTAAATTACATGTCTATTCAACAATGCTAACTGGAACAAATAGATTTATGCACATTTACATCCTAGAACACCAGGGTAAATAGAAGACATTAGTCAAGGATGAATAAAAAAGTTCTATTCTTCTTCGTCATCTGTGTGATCAGGTGGCAAAGGACATACTCTGTGGAAAGAACAGAGAACTTCAATAGTCAGTAACAACTAATTAAAAAACAAAACAAAAATAGTTACAAACACATAAATTAGGAACATTAACAGTGCAGTGGGTCTGGTTAAGTGGCTGGAGATGAAAAATAAAACTATGAATTGATAAACAAATTTCAAGTGCTATAGCAGCACATTTTTTAACAATTTATTTTTGCTGTTAATTTGCTGAATCAGTGTTTCTCCTTTAGGGTATGTTGCCATTTTCATTAAAAAGGAAATCTGTTTCTGTAAGATCTTTCAACATGGTAAGTGGATGATAAAAATGGAATATAATCATTCAGCAAGGACTTTATGGTAATAAGCAAAAAAATTAACAATCCTCTTAAGCAAACAGCAAGTTTTCATATTTGACTGTATATCCTTTTGAACCATATAAATGTATCACCTAATTAGATAACCACCCCCCCAATTGCTTAAGTTGGCATATGGTAGTTGTAACTTTTGAAAGATAATTTACATTATCCCAAGGCATTTGTACTCATTTCACTTTTTACCGAGAAAAAAAATCAATTAAAAATGTAATCATAAATCAGAATTGTTTTTACAGCTGATGAAAATTTGTGAGATCTAACATAAAATAATCAGTTTTCAAATCAGTAATCTGAAGTCATAGAGCTACATTGTGAAATGAAGGTAGCTAAAACAAAGGTATTCTGACTTGGTGTGAGATTATCATTGACTCACGTGTTAGATCACTGAAAGGACTTCATTTTATTTTCCTGGAAGTTAAATCAAGTTAACAAATGAATGTTATCATGAACCAAAGTCCTTTTTGCAAGGACTTGATTTACTCTAGTTATCATGGTTCTGTTCAGATTTTAAGTAGCTAGTCTCACTTTATTCTAACTCCCACATGCAACTGATCCAGTTTACTCTGCCTTTGTGAGAAATATAAAGCTGTTGGAGTTGTCATTTTCCAGATTATGAAATAGGTAGTTAATAGAAGTCCTTCTGATAACTGAGTTTACTATTTACTGTTAATAGTTAATTTATTGATTTACTATCAGTAAAGGGGTATTTGCAACTCTCCTAAAAAAAGACCAATCTAAGAAAGGGGCTAAAGGAATATAAACTTTTTTTTATTATACCATAGACCAAAGTTCTTTATGAGAATATATTTGTGAAATCTTTCTCCGTATGGTGGAAAGCCTATAACATAGGTTTTATTGCTATGATGATCAATGGTATGACCATATTTGATTATATTGCCAAATATTGTTTCCTTAATGGTAGTCACAAATAATTCAAATAATTCAAAAGTAATATTCTGGAGCTGATAATTGATTAGCTTGTTCATATTAGACTAACAAGGAAGAATGATGCCAGACAATGAGAGGGAACTAGAAGAGACAAAATGTAAACTTTAGTTACTGCTCCAGAGTTTGACACTCCTTTCAAATATTTCATAAGATAGTAAGCACTTAGTAACCATTTACTAAATAACCTTATACACTAATTATTGACTAATTCTTAAAATTTTATATGCATAAACATCACTTTATATGTCAAATACTTTGTTTTAATTGCTCTTCCAGCCATTTTTATTTAGCTTGTGTTCAATGCACATCAATTCCAAGCATAATGTACAATCCAAAACAGAGGTACAGTGTTCATATGTGAAGCAAAAGAGTGTTAATTCACACACATAGATGTCATATATCTTGAGATCTGTTGGATTTGGTTGTTCCTGTGTAGGTTTCCAAAGATGGCAAATATTGGGCGGGGCGGGGGGGGGCGCACGTAGAAGAGAGTACAGGGTGGATAATGAAAGGAGACTTGACTTGGGGTGCTGACACCACAGTACAATATACAAATGATGTATAATAGGTTTGTACACCTGAATCTTCTATTATTTTATTAACCAATTTCACCCTAATAAGTTCAATAAAAATATGAAAAATGAGTAAGATGGCAAATATTGGCTTAAGACTTAAGAGCACTATGGCCATACTGAATACTGTAATATCTAAGCATCAGTGTGTGAACATGTGGACCAAGATTTCATGGAGTGTCTGTTTTTAAAAAGGCTTTCTTGTAGATCAAGGCAGTTGTAAAAGTTTTAATTTCCAGAATCAAGTACACTTAGGTCTAGTACCAAGTTCTAACAAGCTGAAAACACTGGCTGGTATAGAAAATGTTCCAAACGTAGCTATTCTGATTCATAAAGCTTTAAAAAAAAAGTAGTTACAGAAAGAGCACAAGAATGAATTCAATGCAGCAAGCTTCCAGTCTTCACTTTCCAAATACCTAATAAACATTATTTTTATCTCCTTCATATATTTGCCTCTTAATTTCAAGATTTGTCAAACCTGCCTTCAAAACAGATACATTTTTAAATTACAAAAATTATTCAGCCCTGGCTGGTATGGTTCAGAAGATTTAGCACCAGCCCATGAATGAAAGGGTCATTGGTTCAATTCCCAGTCAGGGCACATGCCTGGGTTTTGGGCCAGATCCCCAGTGCGGGGATGTGTGAGAGGCAACTGCACATTGATGTTTCTCTCCCCCTTTTTCTCCCTCCCTTACCCTCTGTCTAAAAATATATAAATAAAATCTTTAAAAAATTATTCAATATATGCAGAAACAAAAAGCAGTATTTTTAAGATTGATAGATGTCAATGCACTATTAATCTTTGGAATCAAATTAAGTGATCCAAGTTAAATAAATGAATTTGGCACTCCTATTGCGTAGAAATGAGTGATAGAACATACCTGTCACTTGCTTTTAAGTGTATATGCAAGAATTACTCACGGTTGGACTTTAGTAGATTCCAGTCCATCATTGCCCTGGCACATGTCAATTACTACATCAAATGCAATGTCAAATCCAAAGTCCAAGAGAATAGTGAAAACTTAACAATGTAAAACTTTATGTTGAGTATATGGAAATAAAATTAGGACTGCTGAAATAGACAGGGGATATATGGTAACACATGGTGGTTCCTTCCAATGTACATATAAATGGAATAACAGAAGCTGTTTGTGTTACCTAATCATTTTATTGCCTTCTAGATTTAACGAAGCAAAAACGAAAACTGACTCTCCATTCCACAGTTCATACTTTTTCTCAATCCAGGTGAAATTCTTATTTTCAAGGTAAAGTTTTAAGCGTCCTTACTTAAAACTTTTAAGCTACATTTAATTGCATCATTAATTTTTGATGTTGTCTCTCTCTGTTCTTGCACATGAAACTCCAGCAAATTTAGTACTGCCACTCATTTATGTAGTCAAACCTTCAGATCTTCTTTAAACCAGTCCAATGGGAGATTTTCAACATTTTCTGCATTGGTAGATTAGTAATTAGTAGATTCAGTGAAAACCTGTTTTTTCCTTGCCACGCTGGACTTCAAGATGCGATATGAATTCGGCTGTAGAATATGGGTTGGTGAACTGTAGGTATTTCTTGGCGTGAGTCTCTTAAATGTAGAGATGTAGAAGGGCAAAAAAGACCACAAGGAGACTGGCTGTTAACTGCAGGGCACAACTGTGTTTTGTGGTTTCAGGAAGTTCTGGTGTGCTGCTCAAAGGAACATGCGAATAAATCTGCGTGGGTAGAAGCAACGCCAGAAGCAGCAGCCCCAGACTAAGCCTGGTCACCAACCCCTTGCACATGTTGGTTACTGCAGCTCGGACTGGATCTGCCACTGCTTGGTGCGCTGTAGGATCTTGGGCTCCTGCATGGTGCAGGAGAGGTTAACTAGCAGGGTCTTAAATCAGGAGGCATCATAATGGCAGTGATGTGGCACTACACACCCACATGTACTCACCACTGGCCACTCCCAGTCAAATAATTTGTTTTCAAAGTTGTTTAGAGAGCCTGGTCCCTATCACTTATAAATCTATATTAAAGGCTTCCATTTTCTTTTTTTCCAAGTGGCACTATTTATTTTCCTGATTGTTAAAAGTAACAAAAGTAACCAGTGTTATTTGTTGTTGAAAACTGGTAACACTTGTGAGACAACCTCATCCTCCGGACAGCGACCAGCAGGATGAGGAAGCAGAAGACAACTGAAGAGCCTTCAGGTCCCTGGACTTTCCTTCACCCACAACCCCATCATCACAGATTCTTCCTTGCAACAATCACTAAACATCTAGTGCTAAACCTCTCTGTATGGGCAGCACAGCTACTCAGATCTGCTTCCCTGCCCACTGAGAAGCAGTTTCAGATAAATGTTCATGGGCATTTCTGGATTGATGGTTGCTTTGAGCCCACAGGAACTTTCTTTTCATATTGTGCAGACAAGTGTATTCTGAGAGGCATTTTATTATGTCTCTTTATAGTTGTGAAGTCCAGGTGAAAGCAATGGGGAAGTTTAGAAAGGAGAATTAGCCAAAACAGGCTACAATGGTATCTAAATAATCCACTTAAAATGAGCTTATGGTGGGGGGGGGGCGGCGGTGCACTGGATAGAGGGGGCAAAGGGAAAAGGGAAAAAATTGGGACAACTGTGATAGCATAAAAATATTTTTTTAAAAAAATAAAATGAGCTGATAACATTTTGTTAATAAGCAGTGTACATCTTGTACATGCAAAAATGAATTCACCCCTCCCGCCTCTTTCTTCAGCTAATGGAAAACTGTTAAGGGAAGCTGAAACAAAGAGAACACTTGCTCCTTTCCATCTTCTTAGCACCTTGTTTTGCCTCTTCAAATTATCATGTGTACAAACCTTCTTTTCAATGCAGTGCATCTAAAGTTTAGATACCTGTAACTTTTGGTTGGGGGGGCGGGGGTTGCGATTATTTAAGAATCACGGATTTATTTTTTGTAACTCTTTAGCTGTTGTTCTTGTGTATCCTGACAGTGCCATGTGTATCAGCCCATGTCAATCGAGAAGGATAATCATCGAAATGCCAGACTTCAAAATTAAATTTCAGGAATTCGAAGTGTAAGTAAATGCTGCTTTGGGGATATTAAAAAAAAAAAAGAAAGAAAGAAAATTGGTAGCACTTAGTAAGTACGAGGAGAGGTTTTTACCTAAAGGTGATCTCTATTGATATTTGGTAAATTTTCATTCAGTGTTATTATTTGGTATCTTTTATGCACTTAATACTTTTGCATCCAGAATTTTTGCTTAACACTTATCATGAGCATTTCCCTCACATATTAAAAGCTTAAAAAGCATGAGTTATCTTCCTAAAAATTTGGGCACTGAATTCTGTGTGTGCCGTTTTATCCTCGCCTTGTTTTGAAGTATTCTTATGAATTTATAGAGAAGTTGTAAAGAGAATACACCATGGAGTTAGTCTCGATTGTTTCTAAGTGATGGGGTTTCTTTCTTTTCCAACTTTTCTACATTGGTTATATATTTCTTCTGGAAGTTGAAATAGCAGTTTTTTAAGGGGTAGGATTAACGGAACTCAAACTAGATAAATCAACATGGAAACTACTTTTTGAAAAAGATTATAGAAAATAGACAGTAAAAGTTAAAGGATAAAGACAGGAAGTTTGTGGTTAATAACATAGCACTAATCTTAATGGGAACTGATCCTCTTTAGTGACTGGAGTGAGTAAAAATAATACCTTTCATTGATGTTTAAAATTACAGAGTGACTTTTATTAAAAGACTAGCACAAATTTTTAAAACCCGTTGGTTTTATTTTCTTACTTTCTCAAAGAGAAACTTTAAAGTTACTCAATATTCTGTCTTTTATTTTCAAGAATGTAATTATTTTCTTATATTCCAGAATATAAAAACTTACTTTCTTTTTCCTTTTCCTAAGCCACTGCTTCCTGCCTCTTCAGGAACCTGATTCTCTTTTTCAGAATCTTTAGGGGACAGTCTGAAGAATTCTCCAATTCCTTTTTGCCATTTAGGAGTTGGGCGCACACAAACTGGATTCCCTCCTGCATACTTATTTTCAGCTATAAAATATAAACAGATAGAACTACATAAGAACTAAGAATACAATAGTCATCCCTTAAAAAGAAACAATTTCTTGATATCAAATGTAAAGGGTATTAAGTTATATTAGATCCACCTTAAAATATAGAACTGGAAAATGAGACAAAAAAGTATTATGGTATAATGTGTAATAATACTGTTTTATAGTTATCCTTTAGCCTAGAAAAATAGCATTAATAGAATTTTTACAATTGGAAAATATTTTTTCATATTTTGTCTATAAGAACAGCTAATCGAATAGCATTATATACTGCCATAATAAAGCTTGACACACTTTTCCTAATATAAGGTAGCAGTATGTAGTATAAGCTGCCAAACTTTTGCTTAATATAGTCATTTAGTTAAAGCACATAAAGAAGGCTAAAAAAATAGTGTATAGCAGTGAACATTTCCACTTAAAAAGTTCCAATTTTCAAAGCACTTGGCTCTTTTTCAGTTCATAAGGTAAATCCAATTCCTGATTACTTTAAAATAGCAATATAAAGGAAAATTGAGGGAAAATTCCTGTCCTTTTTATGAAGTAATAATTAGAATACCAACAGGAGCAAATTATTAAGTTACTACATATTACGTTTGTCTTTTGCTCTAAAAACATTTGTCACAAACTCTAGCTATTAAAAAAACTGATAGAAGTACTTCCATATAGACTGTCTGAAGTTATATTGCTGTACTTTAAAAAAATACAAATGGCCTTTAAATAATAGTGACTCTTTCTGTGATAGTGGTAATTTTCCTGAAGGAACCTTATGAGAATGCTTTCACTAATAAAAAGTATATAGCAGCAACAGATAGCTAAGCACAGAATTCAAACACAGCTCTGCAGACTTAGGTGTGTGACCTTTACTGAGGTCACACAACTTAATGAACTTAAATTTCCTCATCTTTAAAATAAGAGTATCACCAATTCCACATAGTTGATTATTGATTAAAAATAGAGATATGTAGCCCTGACCGGTGTGGCTCAGTTGGTTGAGCATAGTCCCTTAAGGCAAAGGGTCACCAGTTTGATTCCCAGTCAGGGCACATGCCTGGGTTGTGGCCGGGTCCCCGGTTGGGGTACATGTGAGAGACAACCTATTGATGTCTCTCTCCTTCTCTTTTTCCCTCCCTTCCCGTCTCCCTAAAAATAAATAAAATATTTTTTAAAAAACCCAGAGATCTGTAAAATGCCTCAATAGGTGAATTTCTGCAACAGAAGTTCATTAAAGACCTATTCAGTTTTGTTTCAACAGTGGGCCAGACAATGTGCCCCTAACTGAAATTTAGTATAGTGATAAAGGTTATTAGATATTCTCAATAAATTCATCTATTTTCAAAATTTTTTTAACCTATTATTCCTTTTTATCTAGACAGATTGAAATAGGCCCTGGTCGGGTAGCTTAGTTGGTTAGAGCATTGTCTTCATATGCCAAGGTTGCAGGTTTGATCACCAATCAAGGTACATACAAGAAGCAATCAGTGAATGCATAAATAAGTGAACAACAAATCAATGTTTCTCTCTCTCTCAAAAAAAAAAACACAAACCAATAAATTAAAAAAATAAAGAGATTGAAATAGTGAATATTTTCTAATGAAATGTTTAGAATAGGGGAAGACTGTATTAACATAAAAACCCATGAAGTCCTTCACAGTGTTTCCTTGTATGTTCTTAAATAGACTTTGTGGAATCAATCTTCGTTACTGCTCCATTTCCTACCGGAAGGAATGAGGCACCAGATGACATGGTATTTTCTCAAGCAATCCTTGCACAGGAGCAGTGTGAGGCTATTTCCGTAGCAGGGTTTTCAATACTATGACCCAGAGTGGCAGTATCAGAAGCTGCAAAGTTGGAAAACACACAGACAGCACAGACCCCTGCACCCCCAAAATGTAAGAGAAAAGAAAAACATGCACAAATGAAAACGAAATGCTTACACTAAAAAGATAATGTGATTAGTACTGTCAACTATCACCCCAATCCTTAATCTGGTAAAGGGATGCTTACACAATCTCTTACAAGAAAATGCCATTTGTCAATATTAAAAATAAAAACACTAAACCAGAAAAAATAAGTTTGAAGATAAATTATGTTTGCCCTATAACACCAATACTCGAGATCCTTTTCCATGCGAGCCCCACCTCTACACCAGCTCGCCAAAGAGGCCAAGGCCCCCTCATTTATCACAGGGCAAGGAAGAAATTCGGGCATGAGGATCTCAGGAAAATGATTTCCACGATGGGTCAGGGGGTTTGAAGCTACGAGAAATATGGTGCCAGGCCTGATCCTCTTTTGATAGGTGCCAGGAGCTTGCAAGGCGGGGCACTTTTTACCTTTCCTCCACGAAGGGGACGTGCAGTTAGCAGCAGAGGTGGAGGAACCAAGCACCTTCCTGGGGGCTCGAGAGGCCACCACTGCGGAGAGAGGCAAAGAAGGGCGTTCAGAAGGGGACAACAAGGAGTCTCAGAACCATGTTCTCACCACAGCCCCCGGCCCAACCTTCTGGAGAGCCCCACGATCCAGAACCCTCCCCTGCCCTCTCAGCTTCTTCTTCCTCTTTAAGGGGCTGGGCCGCTGCTTCACTCGGCAGTGGGGGACCCCCCTACCTCTTCCGCCCTTGGCAGCGGGTGTTGTCGGGAGCAACCCATGCTTTCCACTACCGTGCCCCATTGCCTCACCTTTTCTGTAGGTGCCCGGGACACTGTCTGCTTTAGTCCGAACCATATTCAAACTCGAGGAGTTGAAAGCAACGAAATGGTTTTCTAGCTGAGAGTGTGTCCCTGGACAAAAACCCGAAAATGAATCTCCCGCCACAGTTTATACTGGTCTCCTTCCCGCGCACTCCGCGGAGTCTCCCCATTGGTTCGCGCCTTCTCCCCATTGGTTCTGCGCTGTACCCCGCAACCAATTGCCAGTGTCTCGTGAGCAGAGAGTCAGGGCTTGGCACAGTGCCCACACGTCCATCAGCTCGCAGAAGCTTGTGATTTGTGCCCCCCCCAGAGGGCGGTGCCGCGGTGCTTTCTTCGGGGCCCCGGTGAGTGGGTGCTAAGATTTTGAACTAGGGAAATGTATCTGCTCAGAAAATAAAACCCAGCAACAAAAGAGAATTTCTACCATTTGTTTAAATGTTGCCTCAGGGTTAAATCCAGGAAGTGAAGCATGAAATGAAGCGGACTTTTTCATGAAAATCAAAATAAATAGAACTTACCTTTAATACTTCATGAAGGAACTCTCTCCAAGGCGTCCCTAACTAAAACAAGTCCACAGAACCGGAGAAAAGGAAGATAATACAATTTATTTATAGGTCTTTTTTACGTTTTTAGGATGCTGTGAAGCTAAGGGGAAAAAACAGTGAATTGTATATACAAACACATATAAGAAACAAATTAATAAAACCTCTTCTCGAGATCTGTATAGTCCCAGAGTTGTTAAAAAAAAAAAAGGGGGGGGGGCCAAATGTGCTTACAATACATCTCTGGCAGACAGCAAGCATAAGTCTAAAATAGGAGTTCGTAACTATTTTCTATCCCTGTGCCTATCTTCTAATTAGTCACAATACCCCTGGGGAGTTATTTTCACTCTCTGAATACCATGCATAAAACATCAGATGAGCTTGCTTTGGAGTTTTGTTAAAATACTCACTTGAAAAGCAACCCTGAAAGTGCAAGCATGGCATTTTCTCCAATAAATTATGTTTGAACTTTGAGAACTCTTCAGTACTTTTAACAGAATAAATAACTATTTTGTATTTTAGAATTAAATAATCTAGACAATTAGTATTATAATAGCAGGAATTGCAAGGAAAATTACTTGTAGCTTTCTCTAAACCTTGGACTCTAAGTAAGAGCCAGATTCCTATCAGAACAATCAACAAGCCCCAGGGTATATTCCTATGTTTTTTTGTCATCATGCTCCTCTCAGTAAACAATTGTTCTTCAATACACACTATTTCCTTTTAAATTCAAGTGGCTTCTACAAAGACTTGAATTACTTAATATGAACTCATATCCCAGATTCCTGCAGAAATTAGAACTGCATAGAGACTCTGTGTGTTTTTTCTCCTAGCTTCAAAGAATTGCAAATATACTTTTGCACACAAGGATAGTCTACAGCCAGGGGTGTCTAACCTTTTGGTGTCTCTGGGCCATACATTAAAAACACCGCAGCACATACACACACAAAAATCTCTCTCTTGCACACAAACACACACAAATCTCATAATGTTTGAATTAAATTTACAATTTTGTGTTGGGCCACATTCCTAGCCATCCTGGAGTGATTGAGGACTGTGGGCCGCAGCTGGACACCTCTTGACACATTACTACAGCTGTGTTTGCATGTTTGTCTTTTTAATGCCAATTATGATAGGGAAGGATATATGTTAGAGTAAAAAAATAGGAAAAGAGCAATGATGACTAGTAAAAATTCTTAATTTAAGTGTTTGCTTTGAGGAACTGCTTCTCCTTTAAAGTTCTATAAAATATAGAGAGTTCTATGGTGTGAATCTGAAAATTTCAAAGGCTTAGGACATTAAAATCATTGAATGTATGAATGAAATTTATACCTGTTTATATGAAAAAATTATCTTTAAGTCATGTTAAATAGATGTGCCTGCTTTGCTCAGGCAGAATTGTAGTTTATTGTTTTCAGAAATGCATTTTAATAAATAGTAATGATTGTAAATGGCATTACCTTATATTACAGTCATTACAAACTAGAGATCAGAATCCTTAACATGCCCTATGTGAAAAGAACATTTTATTCTTGAGGACCTAGTAATTTCATTATAATATGTATGATGTAAGTTTCATTGTAAAAAAAACTTAAGTCATAGTCTCTGTCTTCAAGAAGTTAATATTTTAGTTGTGGGGACTAAACAGATAAAGAAACAGGTAAACTATTTGGATATGTTAATTAGTATTAAATGTAGAGCGTTTTTATGGAGAAACAAAACTTGTACCCACTGTTCATGAACATTCACAGAGTATTTTTAAGCTAGAAAATCATGTTTTCCAAATTAATAACAAAGACCATCTAAGCTAAATAAACTTAAGATTTTGATTATTTATGTCAATAAAAGTATTAGCGTAAAAAGATGAAACAGCAACCAATGAATGTAATTACTTACTCTAAATAGCCCAATGGGAATGGAGAACCTATAAATATAAAGCAAAGCCAGCCAATTAAATTTAGTGATTAAACATATCCGAAGACATTATGCTCTTCAGAAAAGTCTGGTTAATTTTTCCCCAACCCACAGTAGATTAGGGAATAGCAAAAGACCTTTTACCTGGTCATGTTGTGTTGAAATACATACCTTCAACTTCTTAAAAATGACTACAGAAACTTCATGTGTAAGGTCTTCAAAGCCAAATCCCAACACCTGTTTTATTAAAGGTTTCCTCCCTCGAGTTTGCTGAGTTATCTTGGCCATCCGGGAAAAGACCTGGATCAAAAAATTAAATAACAAGAGTTTTAGCAGCGTAAATCTATTATTAGACTACGGCGGGGATAAGAGGGAGCGGAATTAATAAGATCACTACCACTAGAGCAAATGCTTATAGTGCTTTACTCTAGCTTCCAAATACTATTTTAAATGTATTACATAAAACCAGACAATTTTAAATTAGACCCTGAAAAATAAAAGAAAATTGACCCCTTAGGTGACAGGCTATAGTTTTGTTTTTCCTAAACTGTAGTTTTTACAAGTATTTGTACTGTCTTCTCAAAAGAATTCCCCATTTTCAAGCCCTACATCTGATGATGCGAAAGAATCGCAAGCAGATCTTCTGATATCTGTTTAAATTCATCCCGTACCGGGAAGTAGGAGGAGCCGGCGTAGGTGGGAGGGGTCTGTGCTGGGAGCTTCGCGACCGCGCGGGGCGGTGCCGCCTGGCGGAACCCACGCAAGGGAAGTCCGTGTTGCGAAGGGAACCAGTCCAGCGCAGGACTCGAGGCTGTCTCAGCCCAGCTGGTTCCGGCTGGGGAAAATGGCGGTAGCTGGGTCGGCGTCCAGAGAGCAGCTGGTAGGCTGGTGCACCCAGCAGTTACGGAAAACTTTCGGCCTGGATGTCAGCGAGGAGATCATGCAGTAAGACCGGTTCGGGTCCGAGGCGGGAAAGAGCTTTGGGACCTGAACTGGCTGAGAGAACCGGGAAGCAGGGAGGACTAAAAAGTTAATCAGAATGAAATAATGTGATTAGACGGCTGCTGTTGGTCTCGAGGCGCCGGATTTTGTCCTTCGGTCTTATAGTTTAGTTTCTGGAGTAGGGTGTCAGGTTCCACAATCGCCCGAAGGGGCCTTTTTTTCCTATGGAAACGCCAAATCCCTGTAATTACAACTTGTAAGATTATCCCAGGAGCCAGTTGCCGTGTAGATACCTGAGAGAAGGGGCAAGCTAAATTGTCTGTTCAGAAATGCCTTACTCTGAACATTTTAGTTTGCCGAAACTGGGTTGTGTCAGATAGGACCTAGAATTTAAATGGGGGCGGCGTGATACGATGCAAATAGCTCCTGATTCAGGAGACCCCGGTTCTATTTTCTGTTGTCACTTACAAGTTTTGGAACCTTGGGCAACTTAATTCCCCTCTCTGTACCTTATTTTCCTCCTCTATAAACTGACTAACTAGTAGGGCTTATCTTGTACTTTATGATTGTTATGAAACGGAGATGGTGACATGATTTAATATCTGTTTTCAGCTGATTTATTTAACAAATATTTTTTGCGCCACTACCAGCCAGGTGCTGGAGCATGAAAGAAATTCCTACAGTTGGGTTCGGCTGGGTTGATGGGGCCTACGGTGGGGAAAATTCAGTGTTGTGGGAGCACGGAGTAAAGGGCTGATTTAAGATCTGAGAAACTTAAAGGTTTATTGAAAGGGACGCCTTTCACCTGAGAACTAAAGGATGGCTAGGTGGATGTGCAGTGTTCAGGTAAAAAGGAAAAACTTCCACAAAACTTGGTCTTGATCAAGGAACCTGTGTTTCTTGATTTGATTCCTTCTTCATTAGTGTAGAAACCAGAATTGCAGTTCTAGGACTTTTGTAGGAAGTGAGGTGAGTTTCTGAGTTTGGGAGAAAATAGACTTGTTCGCAAAGAGAGTTAAGAGAGCCTGTATTAAAGAATTTTTTAAAACACTGGAATAGATTTATCAAAAACGAACAAACCCCAAAACCCAGCTAAATCGTATGGCTTGGCTTTACCCTTGGTTGAGGACAAGATCTGGCTAAGTAGTTTTTCAGACTTTTTTTTTTTAAAGCAGTAGAATGCTGTCAATTGAAATAATGAGGGTTTGTTGTTGGTTTTTTTTTTGCAACATACCAAACAAAAAAAGTCATTCAATTAAAAAAAATTAGGCTATTTTTGATGGATCAACCATGGAATATAGATTAGGGCAGTCTTGTCAGTCTCTGAAGCCAATTGTATTTTGTCAGCTTACACAACAGCAGGAAAATCTAATTCTTATGGATTGTGATTTAAAAGCTTATTTTGCAGCCTTAGATTTTCCTTTGTTAAACTTATCCGCACCCTTGAAAAGAGTGTGATCAGAAATTTCTTTTAAAGTTGAAGCGCTAAGTATGGGTAAACACCTGCTTGCATTTTTTGAAAAGATTTTATTTACTTTTAGAGAGAGGGGGAGGGAGAGAGAAAGAGGGAGAGAACATTGATGTGAGAGAGAAACATCGATCAGTTGCTTCTTGTGTGCGCTGAACGACCAGGGGACCAAACCTGCAACCCAGACATGTGCCCTGACTGGGAATTGAACCAGCGATCTCTAGTTTTGTGGGCCAGCGCCCAACCAACTGAGCCACAGTGGTCAGAAGTGGGCTTGCGTTTTTAAAAATTCATAAATATAAGTTAGACAAGAGTTATTCAATACTTAAGCATTAAAGCTACTTATAATGCTATTTGAACCACTTGGTTTTTACTAGTTATTGCACAACAAGCTATGATGCCATGATGAAAGCATTTGCTGTGTAAATTTGCAGTGCCTTGCCTGGCATTTGAGAATTACGCAGGTGTACTGCAGTTATCTGGTAACATGAATAATTTGCCTTGAATGTCCTGAATTAAAACAAAACAAAACCTAGCATAGAGCTCTTACCTCCCTAATCAATGAAACATCTATGAGACATTAAGAGCTGTACACAGATTTTGCAAAGTAAATTTTTTCCCACAATCTACATTAGTTCATGTTTTGGTTGGCTCTATTTTGATAAGATTTGGTATATAACATATTTGGGTGTATGTTGTTCTTTATCATACTTTGTTAAATAGTAAAAATGACATTTAATCAAATGTTATTGGACCTCTTTAAATACTTCCCTAATGGTTTGAATACTCCAGAGTTCAATGATCTTTTGAGGTTCCTTGCAGCTCTGTGAGTCCTTGGTAGCAATTGATTTTTTGATGAGGGCTAGTAAGTTTGGGGATTAAGTTGATTAAACTGTAGGAGTCCTGAGAATGGTGTCTACCAATTATGGGACAATTGCATGATCTTTGTGGCCATTTTCTTGGAGGGAGTTAGGGGAGGGAGGGAGGGGGTGAGAGAGAGAGAGAGAGAGAGAGAGAGAGAGAAACATTGATGTATGAGAGAAACATCAGTCAGTTGCCTACTGTGTACGACCTTACTGGGATTGAACCAGCAACCTTTTGGTATATGGGACGATGTTCCAACTAACTGAGCCACCCAGCCAGGGCTTTTGATTTATAATTTTTAAAAAAGATTTTATTTCATTATTTCAGGAGAGAAGGGAAGGGAGGGAAAAAGAGGGAGAGAAATATCGATGTGTTTGAGATACATTGATCAGTTGCCTCTTGCACACCCTCAACTGGGGACCTGGCCCGCAACCCAGGCACATGCACTGACTGGGAATTTAACTGGCGACTCTTTCATTCACAGGCTGGTGCTCAATCCACTGAGCCACACCAGCCAGGGCCAGCTGTCCCATTTTTTTTCTCCCCTTTATTCTCTTTTTGCCCTCTACCACGCCCCCCACCAGCATTTCCCACCCCCTTAATTTATGTTCATAGGTTGTACATACAAGTTCTTTGGCTTCCCCATTTCCTATACTATTCATAACCTCCCACTGTCTATTTTGTACCTACAATTTATACTTCTTATTCTCTGTACCTTTTTCCCCATACTCCCCTCCCCATTTCCACCTATAACTCTCCATGTGATCTCCATTTCTGTGATTCTATTCCTGTTACAGTTGTATGCTTAGTTTGTTTTTGTTTTTGGGTATTTTTTTAGGTTCAGTTTTTGGTAGTCGTGAGATTCTTGTCATTTTACTGTTCATAGTTTTTAATCTTCTTTTTCTTAGATAAGTCCCTTTAACATTTCATATAATAAGGGCTTGGTGATGATGAACGCCTTTAACTTGACCTTATCTGGGAAGCATTTCATCTGCCCTTCCATTCTAAATGATAGCTTTGCTAGATAGAGTAACCTTGGATGTAGGTCTTGCCTTTTTTGATTTTGAACGCTTCTTCCAGCCCCTTCTTGCCTGTGAGGTTTCTTTTGAGAAATCAGCTGATTGTCTTATGGGAACTCCTTTGTAGGTAACTGTCTCCTTTTACTGCTTTTAAGAGTCTCTCCTTATCTTTAATCTTGGATAATGTAATTATGACACGCCTTGGTGTAGTCCTCCTTGGGTCCAACTTCTTTGGGACTCTCTGAGCTTCCTGGACTTGCATGTCTATTTTCTTTGCTAGATTGGGGAAGTTCTTCATTATTTTTTGAAATAAGTTTTCAATTTCTTGTTCTTCCTCTTCTCCTGGCACCCCTATGACTCAGATATTGGAATGTTTAAAATTGTCCCAGGGGTTCTTAAGCCTCTCCTCATTTTTTTGAATTCTTGTTTTTTCATTCTGTTCTGGTTGACTGTTTACTTCTTCCTTCTCCTCCAAATCGTTGATTTCAGTCTCAATTTTCCTTCCCTTTACTCTTGGTTTCCTGTATATTTTTCTTTATTTCACTTTGCATAGCCTTTACTTTTTCCTCCATTTTGCAACCATACTCAACCATTTCTGTGAGCATCCTGATTACCAGTGTTTTGAACTGTGCATCTGATAGGTTGGCTATCTCTTCATCACTTAGTTCTATTTTTGGAGCTTTGATCTGTTCTTTCATTTGGGCCATAATTTTTTGTCTTAGCACGCCTGTTATGTTGTAAGGGACGGAGCCTTAGGTGTTCTCCAGGGCAGCGCAACCCAGGTCAATGAGTTGTGATGCTGTATGTGGGGAGGGGTCAGTGAGGGAAAATGCCGCTTGCTCGGCTGTTGGCCTGCCTTCAGTCACTTCCCCGCTATCCACAAGCAAATTGGGCCTTCTAGTGCTGATTCCCTGGGTGGGTGGGTTTGTGTATATTCTAGGACCCTGTGGGTCTCTCCAATGGACTCTCCTGTGAGACTGGGAGTTTCTTCCACTGCAGCAACCCCCACAGATTTTTACAGCCAGAAGTTTGGGGGCTTTATTTCCCTTGTTGGAACTCCAGATTGTACCATCTGTTTCGCTCCTCAGTTGTACTTCCCAGTTTATCCACAAGCAAATGTGGGGCCCATCCAGTCCGCCAGTTGCCATCTTGCCTGTCCTGGTCTGCCAGCCACCGCCTTGCCCACCCAGTCCTCCAGCCGCTGCCTTGCCGTGTGTCTACTCTGCCCTGGCTGCCTATCTCCGCCCCTTTTACCAGTCTGAATGAATGTTTCTTCTTTAACTCCTTGGTTGTTAAACTTCCATACAGTTCGGTTTTCCGACAGTTCTGGTTATTTTTTGTTTTTAAATTTGTTGTTGTCCTTTTGGTTGTAC